TTTTATATAAAATATGTGCATATACTACGTAGACTGCTTCTGCCTCAACATGCTTCCTCTCCAGTGCCAGAAAGTTAGCATTTTCCTTCATTCTACTACACACTAAAACTTGGAAAATTCATCAGATGTTAAGCAAAACTCTTAGGTAAAATAATAAAGCCACTGTAAAATAATAAAGCCACTGAGACTACACTGTACTCAAAAGATTTGGAGGACAGTAACATCCTTTGATCAGTTAATGCTCAAAATCTGACACTGACCACAAACTGATGAAAAATGCTGCTGACCTCAACAAGTGCTTCCAATTCTTCTGAAATTAAGCTTGTACTTACCTGCTTAATTGAGGCTTGCACAGGGGTCTCCCTCTCCCCCCCCCCCCCCCTTTTTTTTTTCCAGTTGTTTTCTCTCAGGACTACAGAATGTATTTAATATATTTTTGGACTGAAGGGTAGTTTATTTTCTTTAATTACTGATACTTTCATATGTTTATTCAGGGTAATATTACAACTGAGAGATTGTTGCAAAGCCTTGCAGTTTACACTGAGAAGATGGATGTTGCTTTTGTTAATCTGTAGACAAAACATTACCACTGAACTCAGAGGCATTGAAAACTCACAAAGAATTTCTTCCCAGAAGTAAAACTCACATGTCTGAATACACACAAGAATCTGAGTTTGCTACAAGCAAAGTGCCTCAACTGAACTTTATTGGTTCTTCAGGCATAGCCCCAAACCCAAACTACCAGGTAAGGGTATCATCTCATTACCTAAAAGAGCTGCTCCATATCAGAAAGAAATGCCAGCAGTAATTCTGGCCGCTAATAAGTGCAGATGATCAATGACAGATACCATTACTAGCAGCAAAACCAAAAAGACAATGGAAACTTTTGAGCTTCAGCATCCGTGACCACTAAAAGGAACAAGCAGTTAGAAATAGGAGTTCTAGCAATTAGTAAAGGCAACAAATAATTTCTGTAACAGCCTACTGCAGTACTATGCAGATCTTACTTGCTTGCAACCAAGTTTATAACCACAGCTGAATCACAGCTCACGACTAGTCAGGACTCTCAAAACTCGGAGGATATCATTCCACAGAACCCCACAGGCTATCATTCTACTTTTCTTTCATATCAACATCATGAAAACTTTAGAAAAAACAATAAGATAAATACAACCATCATCACTATGGCTATTATTGTCATGAAGAAATAAGTACTGCTTGCAAGTGCAGACAGCTGATACAAAGCATGCCCTCAGCTTGTGTACTGAAGTGTATTCTCTTCCAAGCTATAAAAGCCAGCTTTATCAGACATACATGGAACAAGAAAATTCTCCCATACACTGATGTCAAGATCAGAACAAGTTAGCAGTCTGCACCTATATCAGTGTATCTCAAGCTACAACAGCTAAATACGTCACATATTCTACTTACGGAAACCAGCAGACCAAAATTCAATTTCATTACATACACAAGGTCAGACTCACTTCCCAGGCTTCCAGCAGGTAACAGTGGCTTAGACTCCAAATTAACATCTCTTTATAAAAGCAGAAGGCTAATGCCCTGAACACGTCAAATTTACACAAGTAGAAAGAACATGTTGAGAGTATCAGCTTAAGATTCTCTCTCAGCATTCCTTCACACCCCGAGTGGTAGGAAAATACTAACGTGCCTATCTTCCATAGCTCTTATTTGATCCACCTCAAGCTTTCCTACTTAAAAGACAGAAGCTGCCCTGCTCTACTGGGAATTATACTTTGAAGCCTGCAGGTAGACCTGTAGTCAGTCAATCTGGGCAAACAGAAGGTGCCATAGGTATTAAAAAAGGCTTTCTGGGAAAGATTACCTGATAGAAACAATGCCAGGTCCAGAATAATTAAATCATTCCTTCACAATAAAAATTAATTAAATAAGTCTGTTATTCCTAAGAGAAAGTAAGTGTGCCAATTAAGCAAAAAACCCTGTTACAGGGAAAAACTGCCAGCAGCACAAGCTATTTCAGCTGACATTACTTCAGAAAAAGCCCACCATTCACCATCTGTTCTTGCACAAATTCTGAATGCTAAGAAAGTTTCCAACATCACTGATGAAAAGAAAGCAGTCAAGATGCAGAAGTTTTTTGTTTTGCGGTTAAAAAGAACAAGCATCTAAGACAACTCACATTTCAGCAAGAACAAAAACCAGAAGTTTTGCACATTTCATAAAAAAATCATTCCAGAGAATTGCAATAGGGTTGAATGAAAGTGGAGGACATGTAGGGGATATAACATGAAACAAGTAAAAGCTTCATACAAATTTGACATGAGAAGCAGGTGGGCAACTCCAGACAGCAGGTCACATGTGCAAAGTTTTTTCCTAGGTTAATGAGATCAAAATCTTTGGAAACTAACGGCTTCATCAATCTTCTAAAGGGAAGACCAATTATCAAAACAATCTGTTTCGTTCAGCCAAACAAAATAAAGGTCAGTGTGTGACAAGGAAGCTAAAGGATTCTGGGCAACAGAGAAAACAAAAAAGTCTAGGTAGATGGCATTGCCAGTAACATTAACCATCAAGTGAACTACCACACCAGGATAAACAGTCTCTTCCAACATGCAACTCCCAACCGAAGTAAAAACTAGAGTAACAAAACTCCATGAAATTTTACTTCATCATGCTCAAAAAGATGAATTGTAACTGAATAGCTAAAGAAAAAACCCAAATGAGGATTGAAAGCTTATTTCATAGTAAGCCTTGCTTAGCTAAGCAAACAAGTTTTAAGAGAATATGACTGCCCTCTATAAATACATTCATGGAAACAAGTACCCTAGAAGAAACAGAGGAGCTACCTAAGTCAAGGAGAACAACGGCATAAAAATGAACCTTTCAAATTTTGCCATTCATCTGGAAATCAGAGTTCCTAAGTTTGAAGACAGCCTCTATCAAAGAGCTACATAATACTTCAATTCCTTTGAAGTGTTTGCTGAGTTCACAGAAGGGATTGTACCAATAGATATATACCAACATACTATGAGGACAGCAGATGACATGTAGACAGAATGCAATTCCAACGCTATCCTGCATATTCCTACGATTTAGCTCACGAGTATAATGCACTTTTTGAGTAAGCCTCTAGGGAAATAAATTACTTCGCTATACCCTTCCTAGTTTTGTCTAGCATAAAAATTAAAAACAAACCATAAATAATACTAGGTAAAATAACACGAAATTACTAGCTGGTAGGAGATTAAGTATTCCATACAAAACAACAATCTGAAGATTATGGATTATTACCACGTGGTCCATCACTGTGGCAAAGTTGAGGAAAAACCAGATGAACATTACTGTGTCATTTAATTAATAAATTTATTTCTCCCCAGTCTGAAACACAAAATCAGTTGCTGCAATTTATGAATGAGCTAAACATTTCGGGCACTTTTTAATACTCTGGAAAATAAGGTTCCAAAAATCCCTTACAAGTTCTTCCTTAGAAAAATGCTAAATGACAGATGGAGTTTTAGTAGTTCTCATGACACCAGATGATGCTTTATCTGCAGTCATGCAATACACCTCTTAAACAGTTATTTCTCACAATTCTAGTTTATGCTGCAGAAAGATGTACTAGTAATTTAGTATCACTTGTATTTTCTCTCTAAATGAAAGATACCAGCAATGACAGTTTAATAACTCCACCTCAAAACTGCAGCTACTATGCTGAATACATGACCTAGGATTCCTAGAATGAAAACCACCTTATTTTTTAATGAACTAACAAAAAAAAACAATTATTTTTAGTTACTATGTATCCCTTTTACAGGTTTTATACCAACAAGCTTAACACATTTCAACATTTCTACTTTACTTTAATATCGCCCCCTCTATTTTTTTCTTCTTCTTCCTTTCTCTCTTCTCTCTGTGCAATTTAAACGGAATCTATTTACTAAGTCATTTGAAGTCACTACCACTCGAAACAAATACATTATACCACACACACCTGGGTTTGGTATAACAACACTGCTTGATCCCTCATAAAGCAGCCCTAAATTCATGCAAGGTTCAAGAACAAACTTGGGCCACAATTGGTTATTTTCTTTCTTCACCCAATTAATTTCTGAATTAATCCAGAAACAACACTGGTTTGAACTAAGTAGATTCCTTCTTTTTTTCTTTTTTTTTTTTTTTTTTTTTTGAGTACAGAGGAGGTTGGGAACAAAAGACTTGGGCCAGAACCTTCATCTAAATGTTTTTAACAGTATCTTACATTCAAGATACTATTTTATATTCAAATTAGGAGTGCAAACTAGAAATAGTGCATTGATTTAAGAGAGTGTTTAGTGCTGTCTTTTCATCAGATTTATATAGGTATGCAGATGGCAAAAGCCTTAATGAGGTTTTTACGTTAGTTTTGTAGCATCTGTCCTACTTACCAGCAGATCAAAACAGCATTTGTTTGAGAGCATTCAACCCACTTCAACAAAAGCAGACAAACATTGGCCAAAAAAAAAAAGGAAATCTGTTTAAGGGTCCCTCTTACCTGTGTATGTAGCAATTCCCACTGATAGCACGGTAAAGTCATACAAAAGAAATTCATCTTGCTAGACTAGAAAGCTTGGACAGTAACACAGAGGTCAAATTTTTCCACCACTAAAGCAATTTACCCCTTCTAAATGCAGAGTAGGAAACAGTGATAATCCAAAACCTAGTTTTATTACTTCCACTTTGCAAGTATAGTGTTACTGCTTATAAATATGAAAGATGTCCTTCACAGACCTACACAAGTCCAGCAAAACTCTGCCAGCAAAGCCTTCCCAGCACATCTTTTCACAGCAGACAGGTCCCTTGAGCTAACATCTCTAAAACATGCAGACCAAACAAAACATGTTTTATCTCTTCACAGAAAACTTCCATCAATGTTGTTGGTCAACCAAAGTGATGTTCCAGAGCTTAGCCCAAGCTGAAAAGATTTATATAAAGGTACACTATCACTTCTATAAAACATATTTAAGACAAGACTTTCAGCTTACCGTTACAGACTTGAGAGTCATTCCGTGATAGGTGCCCATGGTATCAATTTTAAAGCCTTCCGTTTCTACAAGGAAAAAACGTCACTTGTAAATCACTACAAACACAGGGGTGTCACGTCTAAATGGAAAACACTAGAAATACACTGTAAATTATTTTTGCAAGTAACACATCTTGCTATTGGTAGTGCTTTAGGTTCTGTTCACAGTATAAAACCTGGTCAGTAACTAGGAAATCTGTGTTTTCTTTAGACAGATCTCCATTTGGTATTTCTGCTTCCTGAATAAGCATTTCCTGCTGCATGGAATCATTTAAACCACTCCAAAGAATATATACTTAATTTTTTGTGAGAATATGTTACAACACGCATGCAGTCTCAGAATTCTCTTCACTACAAAATGGAGAACTACCTCATATTCCCAGAATGCATTATAAAATGGAAAATATTCAATTTGTAGTTCTATTAATGGAAAAAAAGAAAAAACAACTTAATAATAAAGCAGTTTACATGCTGACTATAAAACTGGCTACTTAACATGATAAATTCTCTACTGGAGTGCAGAAACAACAATGTAATTGTCATATGACCTAGAAGATAGAATTTACATAAATTCAAAACTTTCAGACTAAAGGTGATAAAAAAGGTTGGTTTGAGCTGGGTTGGTGTTTTTTATATTATTTTTAGTATTTTTAGTCAGACTGAATTTATGCTGAGTATGTGCTAGAAGCCTGCAAGTGCTCTGTGAGTAAACCTACTTCCACTAGCTTGTTTGCCTTTGAATCCTCCTTCTCTGTCCTACTCTCAGCACTCTAAGAGCAAAGCCAGTTCCTGAGTATTGTCAGGAGGACTTGGAAGAAATTATTTTCCTTCTGTAAATTCCCTAGCCTCATGCATCTACTGTCAGCTGAACCCATCAACCAACCACCCAATAAATTCATCCTTAAAATGGCATGATAATCACCAAACCATGATAAGCAAGCATTTGTCTATACCCAGGAAACTTTAGGGCTATTTCAACTAGATCTGCATAACAGTTTCTGACACTGCGCAGAAACAGCTATTTGGCATTGAAAGATTTTTTTTGTCATTTATTACACCATCTTCATACAATGCATCAGCAAAAAAACTCTGTAACACCAGAAATAAAATGGAACTGAAGTAATGCTCACACCTGAACCTAAAAATATTCCAAGAAAAACACCAGATTTTCAAGACTGGTAGAGCTTCTTGCTCCTTAAGATACATAAATTAACTTAAATTGAGAGCCAGACAACCCTGAAAACAACACAGAGAGGCTCTAGGAAGCATCTGTGGTTGCTCATCCTTTCTTCCTTAGATGACAAAGATTATCAGACACTCATAGGAAATGAAGCAGAAAAGTTTGCCAGATTTAATAACTCCACAGTGCTTAGAAAAATATACCTGAAGGGGGCTGAAAACTGATCATACTCATTTTACCACAGAGACAGGTATCTACTTCCTGAACACTGGTTTTTTTTTTTGTTTTACCTGTCTTCCCCCCGCCCACCACTCCCTCAATTAGGCAATCAGACCTACCACCAACTACTAAGTGGAAAGGCCTACTGTTACTGCTCATGTTTTATTTTACACAAAACCACCATCTCCAGGCCTCCTTCATCTTTGCTTCTCGAAGCCACCTCTACCCTTCTGCCAGATTTCACATTTCTGAACCACACAGAATTGATTCTGAGAGAGCAAACCGCAGGTATACACAGACATGAATTCAGTCTTCTTTACTACGGAAAGAAAAAGAAGCCTAGTGTCCGTTTACTGCCTTGCTCCCCAACCCCAAGATATAATTATGCATTGCATAATTAGGACTGACAGAGCTGAATTTGAGCTAAAGATACTAAAGTTGCACCTGACCACCACTTCTATGGATAATAGCTTCCTCTGTGACTATACAGGTCACTGTTTTTGGGCAAGCAGCATATTAATATCTCAGGTGGTGTCTATAGCACTGCAGAATACTTAGTAGAGATGCCCTACACTGAAGAGAGGCTTTTGCTGACCTGGAGTGACATAAATCAGGAGGTGTATAATCTAGGCTGACGGTTGTTTGTGATTTTCAGAACAACAACAGCAGAACCTCTCCCCTTTTCAGATGGACCTGTTATGGTTTCCTCTTGCCTGTGACATGGAGAATTTCCAGCTACTTTAACCAGATGCTCCTCTAAAACTCCAAAGATGACAGACAACCCTTAAAAAGGCCAGCAAAGCATCTCCCATTGTGCTCAGCCTACCATGGTTTCTTTCAGCTAAGCACAAATACTGGGTCTTTAATTAGTTGTACATGTTAGATCCCCGTTTCAGTTATTTCTTTCCACTGGACTCTATTTCTGCTTTTTCCTCTAATAAAACTTCACATTCTTTCTCAATTGATTAGGAAACCCTAACCCAAGTCTCCATGAGCGCTGCAAAGGGAATAAAGGCCCACAGAACCAGCATCACAGTTAGAAAGCAAATCAAAGGGGAGAGAGGCAGCAGGCAGGCAACAAGCTTCTGTTTGACCGCCAGTGGGTTCACCTTTTGCAAAAATCTCCCCAAGTCTCTCAAAATCTGGCCTGGTTCATTTAATGAGCCACAAAAGCTACTAGCCAGAGCCCTGGCTCTCAGCAGCCTCCCACTCTCAGCCTTGTGCTGATCCCAGAAGGAGAAGCAAACAGCTAGGATCCTCAAGAACTCCTTTTACCTCAAGCATTAGATGGGACATTCTTGCCTGCTTAATGTTTCCAGCAGCTATACGTGCCTTCTAATGCTATTTAATAGTTACTCAGGTAATAAATAAAGCATTTCTGATAATCTGTAAATAATGGCATAGTACTTTTCCTCATTAATTTATATTTAAGGGATACTCAATGGTCAAAGTAGGATACCGGTATCCACTTAACATTCCTGCAAACAGCTACTGAAGCTACCTTGAGGTATACTGTAAACCCCAGGACCTGCAAGTAGGGGGGATGAATAGAAGAAACCATCTTCATAACTGCCCAACAACTCAAATTTCCTGCCTCAAATTCTGGTTTCAGCATCTGGAGAATGAGTTGAGGATCGTCATCTTCTAGATAACGACAGCAACCCTCATTTAACTGGTAACAGCACATTCTTCTCTCAGAGTGCAGCTTTTTTGACCTGAACCTCACATTCATCCTGTGATATTCTACCAGCCAGCCACTCACTTTTCTTACAGAAATAAACACTGCTGCAAGCGACAGTCCTGTCACTTGCACTTTATGCCTTTTTATAAGGTTTCGACAGTTTGTACACGGCCACATACAGTGGTACCCTCAGCTCTACTCAATGTATACAGACTGTTCAGAGAGAAAAAAAACCACTTCCAAGCCAGGGACTCTACAGTTACAGCTGCATTCCCACTTCAAAATTGCTGAGAGTGTTAGCCCAGTTAATGTAGCTGGTTGTAAAAGACACTGAAGGGCTAGGCTAGAAAGCGGAGAGGCACTTCTTCCAGAGCATTCTCTGAGAGCAGTGGCTGGCCCTGATACAGCTGCTCAAAAGCAAACCTCAAACACAAGAGGAACCACAGGCCCCAATAAAGAGGAGTAAAACAGAGAGCAACCAGGGGATGTGCCCCCAGCATATATAAGCATAAATGCTGTACCATACCCTCTGGCTGAGAATAAAAAAGCAATTATTTCTCCCCTCCCTCCCACACCACCTCAAATCTGTACTGCTGAGTCATGCACCAGCACAGAAATGAAATATTAATGCCTGGCTGAGAATTCATTTGTAACTCTAGTTTCAAAATCATGGCTTCACTAATGGTAATAGAGGTAGCAGTTAAATTTATAAGCAATCTATTACACAAAAGGTATTTAAGCAGAAAAGAGACCTTAAAGTAAACATATCATGATGGCAAGATTTTGGACCCTTATTTTTAAACCTGGAATTAGATGCACAACAGCTGTTAAAAAAGGAGAGTCTTCAATACATTGGGACTTTTCAATAAAATTACAAAATTTATGTATGTTTCATATACATGTTTACATAATTTATGCATTTTTCATTAGGCAAAAAGCAGTCTACATTAAATACTTCAAAAGCAGGTCTAACACTAGGGAGTATAGAATGCAAGCAAAGCCCAACGTTAATGTATTGTGAAGAATTGTATCTCAACTTTATCCATTTGCCAACTAGAATCAGTTTTATAAATGTAAACACTGTTAGAAACACCAATATCAACAAATGCATTTCCACTGGATTCTTGCTATACAAATGCCTATATCTTGAGAGACTAAACACAATAATGAGTAATGAATCATGTATTCTCATGCTTCCAAACCAGTTAATATTAAGACTAAATTTACTTCTCCAGTCACTGCATGTATTATGATCACAATTTCATAGCTCCATGCCGCAAAGTGTCAAAAGAATAACACATTTTCCAGTATGGTTCATCACTAGTTACCTTTCTAGCATCATCATGCATAAATCTGAGTGCCTTCTTATTTAAAAGAATTAAACCTGGAAATGAAAATATGCATTAACTTTTTGACTGGTTATATTCTCCATCACCAATTGGGCATATGTTCCATTTTCCTGTATACAATTATTAATGTTCAAAGTGCCATCCATGTGGTTAAAGCCCTCTGCTCTACATCCATCTAGGTCACTTTGCATTTTGACTCTGCACCTGCTGCAGTTCTAGCCATCCAATGCAGGTGCAAACTTGAGCGCCGACACATTACTAAAAGAATAACAGCTTTAAAAAGACTCAAATTAACCTGAATTTCTGGAAGAAAGTGTAGGCAAACAGAGACAGACCAAAGCAGTGTGTCTCTGAAATACTGAAGAGCTCAAGTTAAAAATTTGAGTTTAATCTGTGGATGAGTAAGACTGAATAACCACTTTTTTTTTCTTTTTTTCAGCTGTATACTCTTCAAACCCCAGATAGCAACAGCTCTGCAGAATGCCTGGAAATGATTCACTACCCCACTTCACACCCATGGTAATTAAATCACTGACACCAAATTTCATTCTGCATAAGAGTTTACTGAATAGTCCTTTTCAATACTACACCCTGACAAGTAGAAGGTTAGTTTCATGTCTACATTTCCAAGCTACACTTACTAGTTTACAAAACTCTCTACCCAGTTCATATATAATACTTCAGCAATAATATTACAAGTAATTAACACCAAGTTCTTAAAAGTTTCTCAGAGTGCTAATAGAAAAAAATTGCAGTATGAAACTGTCTATTCCAGCACTGAAGTGGATTTACAGTACTGAAAGTTATCAAACTACTTGGTCACACCAGAAAGTAGAATGTAACTTTTTTTTTTCCAAATGTGAATCTCTTGCACATATTTCCTCCTAGTTCCAACCCCCCTGCCATGGGCAGGAACACCTCATCCTAGACCATGTCGCCCAAGGCTCTGTCCAGCCTGGCCTTGAACACTGCCAAGGATGAAGCATTTATCACTTCCTTGGGCAACCTGTTCCAGTTCCTCACCACCCTCACAGTAACAAACTTCTTCCTTATAGTTAACGTGAGCTTCCCCCGTTTTGTTTTAAACCCATTACTCCTTGTCCTGTCAAATCAGTCCCTAATGAGGAGTATGAAGGAAAGAAATAAAAGTACAAAAGGAAAAGTAGGGAAAGTTTAGTACAGAATGGAGCTCTACATTGATGAAGAGAGGATACCATCACTGACTGCTAACGTGAAAGAAACAAAACCAACAGGAAGGAAACAACAGTCAAGGAAAGTAATTACAGGGAGTTTGCCTCCTCACCTGAAAACCATTTGAACAGTGTAGCATGATGGGTGCACTGCTGAGTGACACGTTTCACTGCAGAAATATCTAGGACATAGAGTCCTACTGCAAGAGACATTCTAATACATTTCCTAGGACATACATCACAGAACTTAAGAATGTCAAAGGAAAGATTTCCTCTCCTGCCTAACCAGAGCTGCAGGAACAAGACACCTATTTGAGATAAAGCTAGCAACTACTGACTCAGAGCTGCATAAGCAGTTCCACTTACTTCAGATATAACTGATTACTTGCTCCTGAAGAGCGGTACTTTATAACTACCACACCCCTCGCATTTACTATTAACGCAGTCTAAACCATTTCAGCAGCAATACATGTTCCATCTGGCATGAAAGTTTTATTTAAGCCAACCAGAGAGTTATCCTGGTATACCTCATCAGAAATAACGATCCATCATAAGAAGCAGAGAAATTTGCCTGCAACTCAGCAGTTTACTTAATGCACCTTATGTTAAAATTCCTAAATTTACTGTCTTAGTTGTATGAACTTGTTCTGGGTTCAGCTGTAAGAGTTATTTTTCTCCTTAGTAGCTGGTGCAGTGCTGTGGTTTTGGCTTTAGTCTTTGAACAATGCTGATAGCACACCAATGTTTTCTGTTGTTGCTAACAAATGCTTATCCCGATCAAGGACTTTTCAGTCTCTCATGCTCTGCCAGTTAAGAGGAGCACAAGAAGCTGGAAGGAAGCAGAGACAGGACACCTGGCCCAAGCTAACCAAAGGGATATTCCATACCACAGCACATCATGCCCAGTATGTAAACTCGGGGGAGTTACCTGGAAGGCCCAGACTGCTGCTCGGGTTTGGCTGGGTATCAGTCAGCTGGTGGTGAGCAACTGCATTGTGCATCACTTGTGCTTATTGTCTTGTTGGTTTGTTTTGGTTTTTTTTTTTCCTTTCCCCTTTAGTTCTCTCCCCTTGCTATTTCCCTTATCATTATTATTATTGGCAGTAATAGTGGGTTTGTGTTATACCTTAGTTACTGGACTGCTCTTATCTCAACCCATGGGGTTTACATTCTTTGGATTCTCCTCCCCATCCCTCTGGGAGCAGGGCGGGGGGAACAAAGAGGGGAGTGAGCAACCAGCTGCATGGCTCTGAGGCTGGCCTTAAACTTCAACAAAGTTTTGACCTCTTTATGCTAGGAGCAATACTGTTAACGGAAGAATTCTGTATTAAGCCACACAAATATTCAAAGAAACAACATATCATACCTTTGCTACCTAAACTTTAAATTTTCATGAATACTGTAGTATTACATGAAATTGCACACAGACAGTAAGCAGCAATCAGGATGCATCTAGGAGAGCATTACTGTGAATTCTGCCTATTGTTTTAATACCTCTGAGGAAACAGCAAACAGGTGAAACACTAAGACAAAAGCTTGGAGAAACTGCTTCTCTTGGCTTTGTTTAACTCTTTCACCAAAATCACTACTACACATGTTACACGCATCATAAAATCCTCCCTTCCACAATTTCTAGTCAACCACATGCACAGCCATATAGAGTAAGATGTGGAAACTCTTCAAAGTGACACAAATCTATAGGGTTTAACTTTATCTCGCATGTTACCCATTATTACCAATTACTTCGGATTTCCTTCCCAAAATCCCCAACACTGCAGGCTTCCCATAAATACGCTGTAATTCCGAGTTCTCACTACATTAGCTGTAAAACTCAAGAACCGTCTCTGAGGATCAAAAAACGCTTTCTTTCACTTTTATTGATGGCTATTTCTGCTTCCAATCTCATTTCTGCACTGAATATTTGGGGGCCACAAGTTAATTCTGAGGACAACTGAAATAAAAATCCTTCAGTGAATGAGCTCACTTGTGATATGGTTGCAAGTGACATGTACAGTTCACTTTTTAGCAAATCACATTGGAAACCATTAATGCCCAATTACAGCTTTTGAAAACCACCTGGACTGTGAGTTTTAGTCAGACTAAAATGTTAAAAATTTACAGTTTTATAAAAGAATACATCAGAAGTAAATAAGATTTACTGTTTTCTAAAATTAATTTGTAACTGAGGTATCTCAAATATCTCTACACCCCCTCCTTAGAAATCTAGATATTAATTAGTAATTCTAACTTCCGTAAATGCTTCAATACCTTTTATAAGTCAACCTGTGTTTGAAATACGGTGTTTTGAACACCAAATTTCTATTTCCAGTGTTAGCCTATGCTTACCTAAATTGGTGTTACACCAGTACTGTTCCTAAACAGTGCATTTCTTTTAATACACACAGAAAACTAAAATACAAAATTAACTCTATATGTGACTACGCTAAACATAAGAAACCAGAAAGTTAAGGCATGTAAACATGTCCTAGGAAGAAGTGCCAATGATAACTACCCAAGTAGAACATGACCATCTGAGGCATTTCAAAACCACATCACAAAAGAACCTTTCAATTGCAACAAGAGCTGCAGTCCAGTCCGCTTCAGCACTGAAGGAAACCCCAAGACCACATTCTTAGAATCACATTAACGTATGAATGGAATATTTTATCATTAAGTATTACTAATTACAGGCAGAAACATTTTTCTCTTGCAATAATTTAATCTCTTTTTTGAATTCTGCTTAGAAAGCTCTACATTAATTGTGCACTGGTGAGCTGCTTGACAAACACTTCTGGCTTCTTCTTCCTGCCATGCAAATCCTGTTATTTTCTGCTCCCTCTCAAACCACAGACATGGGGTAAAAGCATAAAATACATTCACCTGTTCAGTACAGATGTTTCTACAGAGGCTGCTTACTGGAACTATGTCATCTAGGGGCATGCCGACTACACTTTTACCTAAGGTTCTTGTTGAAAAAGAGTCCACAATGAATTATAGGCAATTTTACATTTGAACTGTTAACACTTGACCATTAATTTCCTTCTCCACCTTTTATTTCATACTGTACAGTAAAGTTATCTACTATTTTTAACTCTTAATAGGAAACGATAGTAAAAAAAAAAACAAAACTTTGCAAATATGCCACCGCTGAACAATTAAAATATTATCAGAAATAAACTGAATAAATTCTAATTGGGTGACATAGTTTAGTGTGAGGTGTTCCTGCCCATGGCAGGGGGGTTGGAACTAGATGATCTTAAGGTTCTTTCCAAACCCAACTATTCTATGATTATATGATTCTAATTAAAACATTCATGGAAAGACTGATTTGGATTTTTGGGTTTGTTGGTGTCCCATTCCCCCGTGTCCCCTCTTTCTTTTCCTGACTCTTATAACACCTAATTCTTCATGAATGCTACTGCAGGTTATTTTTCAATGCTGAAAAAGCCACCCAATATTCTGCTTAGCCTTTTCCTTCTACCCCTAAATGCACTTGTCAATGAGTAGCAGTAAATAAAAACTGCTGCACTGAAATCAACATATATTAAGGCCAACACAGAACAGACTTCAAGAGGATATAATAGAACATATGACCAATTTTGCTATAGTCAGTTTCACACACACAAAATCATAAACCAAAAGGATGTATTCAGGTGTAAGTGCATATTTACTAAACTTGGGTTGTTTGTGTTTGTTTTTTTTTAAATAACTGCAGAAATAGCCACAGTCAGATTTTCAAATTGTTGTATATTATTCAGTATGAGGTGCATGGAAAACACAACCTTCACAAATTTCTTATGGCATGAAATTCTCCATTGGTGTTATATTTTATGCTTTTCTTTCTCCCATTGCAATCAAAACTGAATATCCAAGTAATAATGTGACATACTCTTGCTTTTTATTTACATAGCAAAAACAATCACATCATTTCAATATAAAATTGAACAATCACCTACAGTACAGCTCTTCCAAAATCTGAGCATTCACATACACAGCATATGAATGTTCTGAACAAAAAATGGTACTAACTTGAGCAAAGCCAAATACTCTAAAAGATGCAAGCTGAACCACTCATCTACAATTTAAAATGCAATTTAGTAGCATGTAAGTTCTAGCAGCAAGAAGTGAAAGCCCTCAGAAGGATGCATAAATAGTTCTGTTTTTTCCTTACTTCCTAACAAATAATTTCTAATAAATAACATTTTTAGACTTAATTACTTGGAAAAGCTATCTTTAGGCATAGTTACTGCTTTGTTTTGTTTTTTTTTCCTTGTTTTAGGGTTGAAAAGTAACTGCACAGAAAAACTCCTAACCCTAACTTTACAGGTCGTTGGTTTCATTTCACAATTTATTTACTTATTGTTTTAAAAGAAGTATTACAATCAACTTACCCTCTTTGCCTTTGAATCTTTCCTGATCATATCTGTTGTAGGCAGCTGGAATAGGTTGCTTATTTCGTAAAGCGGGATCCTAAAACAGGTTAAATAAAAACTGTAAAACATACTAAAATGTATTTCATGGGTTTTGAACTTAGTAAGCCATTACAGGTAACTGCTCAAGAGTATAAAATTAGTTCATTTTTGTAGGAGTTCCAATGGATTTGAAAAATTCTCGTATGTTTCCCTTCAACATCCACTAACAATCTAACAGAAACAGTTTAGAAGTACATACTGAAAGCTATGACAACTCCCAGAGGCAAAACTAAAGTAGCAGTAACAAACTGCATTAGCTAAAAGTTTAATGTTTTATGAAACCACCAAGTTTTTGTAATATCTCAAGAATTAGCAGGGGAAAAAAATACTGTCAACTGACAATTCATGATTAAGCCTTCAACCACACACACAAGCACAAGGAACACACCATGTTCCTTGCCAGCCCAATTAAGCTAAAATTCTCCTAAACCCAGAACAAAGTTGGAGGGAAAAAAAAGGCACTCTGGAGAAAAAAGTTTTAAAATAGAGGCTCACTAAATACTAATCCAATCTTTTTTGTGGATGTCTTCGTTACATATTCACAACTATTCTGAATGGGACGTTGTGCTGTGCACAATTTACAAAATGCAACACTAAGTAAATATTTAAATGTTGGAATTCATCTTGCTATTTAAATTTCGCTCTTAGTTAAATGCAGTAGCAGGAAAAACAAATCCAAGTATGATTAAACAGCTTTTATAGCAGACTGCCACTTAGTTCAAAATATATTAGCTTTAATAGAACTCGATAGTAAACATCATAAGACAAAACAAATCCTGTCTAATACCTAGAAAGATTTAACCAGTAAAGCTCCAAGTCTGTCCTCCTGATTTTACAGACCCAAGAAAGCTGGTTCAAGCTGTTCCTACTCATGAGTCATGTTCCAGATTCTGAAAACATTTGCTAACCTGTCACAAAAACTGCAAAATATTTTGTTTGAAATGGCAGTAGTCTCATCTAATACATTTTTCACAAAAAGATGCAGGATGTCACTAATGTTTGATAGATGCAGAAGCTGGCACTAGCAATTTAATCTCTAAGTAACAATAACATACTGAACAAATTAAACTAATATATTCAACTCCTTAAATACCAGTACACAATCTAAGTCAAAGAGTATCTATGAACTTGTGCTTGAAGTTAAATTTTATATTTAATTATGACATGACACTCTCACTTTTGGGGTCACAGTCTTCATAATAAAAGTGCTGCTCTTACCGTCGGTGCTGTATTTGGTGCAGGTCTTTGTTCAGGTGCTCGGCCTTCTTCTCTGGCTTTTACTGATTGAAGAATTGCAAAAATATTCTTCGCAAAGTTCTGAAAAACATATGAGATAACCATGAACCTTGCTGAACATACGGGTTTCATTTAACACCACGGGTAAAAGACACCATTTAGTCAACTTGTGCTTCACAGAATAAACAGAACTAATACATCAATTTTCCAAATAGATGTTCCCTGATTACTTTTCTGTGATGGAATCCAAAGTTTTAAGGCACCTATTCTTTAAGTCCTCTATGCGCTACCCCATTCTTTAAGGCCCAAACTTCTTAAACCTAATTGGCATCATTACACCACAAGGTAAGCCAAACTCTTCAAAAAGCTCTTGTAATCTGCTTCGCCCCTCTTGTCTACCATGCCCTTACAGTCCCTTCAGAACTCTTCGTGACGTACTAAGAAGGAAAAGGTTTTGCTCAAGATTTCCAGAACAAGTCTCATCTCTGAGACCCAAGTACACATCTGCTAATGAGAGCCTGCCTGCTCACATCCGGCCTCCAGACAGGATGTCTTGGGCACAGCTCCTTTGTTTGCCTAACCCTGCTAAAAGCTTTCCTCCACCAAGAGAGCATGTTCAGCTCCTCTTAGGGAAGAGTCCTCAAGAACCCTGATGCTGCTGAGGCAACACTGGCAACCACTCCCTATGCTTTCCAGCAAGACTCCTGAGCAGGGCAGAACATGCTTTAGATGGTTGTTAACAGTTCACAGGCTCAACCCCATCTCAGCGGGGTGCAGTTATTTTAATATTTACCTTGAATCACAATTTCACTCCATTTGGCACCAAGTAATTTGAGTAGTAGAGCCTTTCATTTTAAACTGGAGGAAGCAAGTACAACAATCACGTTCACAACTTTGTCAGATAACCAGATCAATGAGACACAGCGGAACAAATACCAATCAAGGTTTTTAAACAAAGCATTCCTCCTGGTGGTAATAGTAGGACTGCTTTATTCTAAACAAAAATGTAAACACTAATTACATTTTTGAAAGGCATATACTTTTTACGTTACCACTCAATAGGCATTTTAAGCTATAGATGTATGTGTACACGTCTGTCATTACCATCAACTTTCAGTAACACTTCATGAGTAAAAGAAACCTTTTATCAATTAAGGAAAACAGTTTCTTTCATGGTTCAGAACAGTATAAAGTATTCACAAAATGCTTAGATTCTTCCAGAGTATTGTGTACTAACACTGAAGCAGTGTTACTTAACACTGCTGGTGTTATAAAATAAATGCAAGAAATACAAAACAAAGACTTCTGTGGTGAATTGTGTAGAAATGATTTAGATTGCTGTAAAGCAAAAGTTCTCTAAGTCTTTTCACTTAACCTCAGCCACCATCCTGGCAATCTGCTCCAGACTGGAGGGGCAGGAACTGGAAGACCACCAGAAACCACTTACAAAGGCAAAGCCATTCCCTGAGCAAACCCAATTCTTTTCACAAAGACTGAAAGAACTCACACAAAACTGTACTTGAACTTCTTTTCAGTCAGAAAAGTCCCGGGGGAGGAAGTATGGGAGGTGGTGTGGAAAAACTTGAAAGAGCTGTGAGCCATGAATATATCAACTACATCATCAGTTCTGTTCTTCAGAACATAAGTCTAAAATACACACTTTTACTGGGAATTCGCAGATTTCTCCCAGACTGTGGACTGGGCAGCCTATCGATCACAACTCTTGTCATTGCTTTTCTTTATCCCATTCTGTCTCTTCAATATGACAAGCTACTCAGTCTTCTGAAGTTCAGGAGGAGGAACTAATTAAATAACAAGAGGAGGAATTTTATATGAGTGATTCTCTATGTAGCAGCCAAGTCTTCTTTCAGTCACATGGCATCTATGACCAGCTTTCACACCATATTTCATTCACAAAACCTATCGTTAACATACTCTTAAAGTGAGCTTAAATTTCACATGATTTTTTTTTTTCCAAGGCATTTTAGCATCTCGGGTTTTAATAGCCTGAAATAACCTGGACAAAATTTAAAATTCTTTCAGGTAAAAAACCCCAAACCCCAAAAAAAACAAATAAAAACCAACCAACCAAACCACCCACACTCACAGGATTTTCTCCTATCTGAAAACAAGTTGCTAATAAGCATGGAATTACAGAGTGTTCTTGCTCATGACTTTTCCCATAGCATGAAAATGCAGGTTCCCCAAGGCCACAACTACTGCATGTTTCAAAGGGGAAAACACAGCAGTGTTTTAACAGGCACTCAAACCAATGTCATTATCTTGCTGTTCATGGGCTTGGTTGGGGATGTGGGATTACATTACTATGACAGAAAAATGATGGAGCAGGAAGTCCTCTGCAGGCACCAACTGATTTGCAAAGCCCTGCAGAGTTGCAAGACCTCTAGTTTCCATTGTTCATCCCTTCAGAGATCAGAATACGAATATCCCCTAGCTTCTGCCCTACATTTAGTTAAACTTAGTATTAAATGCAACATTTTATTACCAAAAACTTATCTGGGGAAAGCACAGAAAAAGAGAGGAAAAGAAAGAAAAAACAAAGAAAATAAAATAAGTTTCTCTGCACTAAGTCTTAAAAAAAACGGAACATGCTTTAAAAAACATGTTTAAGAATATCCTTATTATGTAAAAGACCAATTCCACCAATTATTGTTGTTACCTGCCTTGAGCACTGGTACTCCCATCGAAAGCTCTTTGCTGATTCCAACTGTGTCTACATCTCATAATTCATCATCACTTAGGGGGCAAAATATTTCAGGATCGACTAAATCAGGGTTTTGGTATTATCTTAAATAAAGCCTTACTGTAATACATTATTCTGCCCATCCTCACTCATGCTTCCAAAAGGAAGACTCGCGCACTAGATGTAAATTGGAAGGGAGAACAACGGTAGTCAAAAGACAATCAGTAACAGCAGCTATAGTCAGATAAATGTAGTCAATCATCTTACAGAAATAGAGTCACATAGTCATACTGTGACTGTATGTAAATCCTCAAAAATTACTGGCACAGATGCTCTATCCCTTTTCACAGCAACTAACAAACATCAAGTCAAGTTACTATCACTGGTGTTAATTTAACACCAGGCTGTTTAAGGAGAAGTAATATGTAAGATCAGCCTGCTCTGCTGGGGAAGACTCGATCAAGTTACATGATTACCAAGACTCCTTTTGTAATAAAAATACTTCTTTTTTATAACAGTAATCATCAAAGGGAAATACCAATTTCTACTTCATAGAAAACAATTCCTTGTGGGGGGGAAGCATACTTTATCGCAATCATCTGAACAAAAAATAAAATTGTAAATCTAACATACTAAAGTAGAAGCATATTCACTGCTACACAGAAAGGCTTATAGGGCTTCAAAACTTTCCCATAGCTAAGTTGTAAGCAATTTTCAATCGAATGTTACATTCTGGTATTTCACTACAGAGAGAAAAGCCCAGGGACAACTGTATAAACTCAAACTCTTATCTGAGCTGTCAAACAAGAAATCAACTTATTGACATGAATCTCAGAATGATCAAGATTTGTGAAATCTAATAATCACTGTCCAGACTTCTAGTGGGGCTGGAGAAGGAAGAACCCAGTCCCTACTGCACCTCTTTACACATGTGCTTTGATATGCTCAGGCATACTCCCACGTCCTTTGCAGCCACTGACAAGACTGAAAGGCATGATGCAGTACCAGAAATGCAGTATTCGTGTCACACATTTTCAGCAATTCTCATGTACTGCATGACATGAAAAATGTAAACAGTATTCAAATGATCTCCTAAAAGTACAGCAGAAATTAAGAAATTGTTAATACAGAACATAAACTGATGAACTGCTTATCTAAAAATATTTTGCACATTTAAAGCACACATTTAAATCTGGAAGCCTTATTTAAGGCATCACTTTCCTATGCTTCAGAATTGCATCTTCAACTTGTGAACTGTTCACAAACAGTGAAGTCGATCTTCTCTCCTTGCTCTTCTAATTTAAAAGATAATCCTAAAGCACTGTATTTTCATATTGTGTGCTAAGCTGTCCTGAGAATCAAAGTTTTAACATACGAAAGACTGATATTCTGGGACTGTCATGAGCAACTGCAAGCATGCAAATACATTAGTAGAACAGCTATGCAACCTGCTGGTATTCTCTACACTGTGCTTCTTAAAACCATAAAAATTTCCATAATTTCTGACCCAGTATCTTTCCTCTCCTTATACAAGAACCCTTCAAATAAAGGCCACAGCTAAACACATGCTCTTCAATTATATAGTTGTGATGAACTCAATCCTCCTTTTTGCATTGCATACACATGCACCTCTCCCATTTTCCTTACTTGCTTTCACTTGAGTAACACCTAAAACGCACAAGATGCCCAATGGCACTGACAGGCATGTTTGCCGAGAGCTCACGGTACCTCAAACTATTCTCCATGCGATTTTGACCTGTACATACCTTACTACAGTAAGTCATAAAACAAGCACACTACCAACAGACACCTTTAAAAAGGATCTCCTAAATAAATAGGTTTATCATCGTTGTTCTCCCAGGACAATAGTAATTTAAGAGACTTGTAACAAGTAGAATCATAGAATAGTTAGGGCTGGAAAGGACCTTAAGATCATCTAGTTCCAACCCCCCTGCCATGGGCAGGGACACCTCACACTAAACCACCTCACTCGCCCAAGGCTTTGTCCAATCTGGCCTTGAACATCACCAGGGATGAAGCATTCACAACCTCCCTGGACAACCCATTCCAGTGACTCACAGCACCCTAATAGGAAAGAATTTCCTCCTTATATCCAACCTAAACTTCCCTGTTTAAGTTTGAACCCATTACCCCTTGTCCTGTCACTACAATCCCTAATGAAGAGTCCCTCCCCAGCATCCCTATAGGCCCCCTTCAGATACTGGAAGGCTGCTATGAGGTCTCCACGCAGCCTTCTCTTCTCCAGGCTGAACAGCCCCAACTTTCTCAGCTTATCTTCATATGGGAGGGTGCTCCAGTCCTCCGATCATCCTCATGGACCTCCTCTGGACTTATTCCAACAGTTCCATGTCCTTTT